AGAAATAAATTGGTTTTTTCTCTGAGAGCATCAAAACAGATGCTCTTGGTTGTTGTGAACAACGAAAAAGCTTTTAAGGAAAATAATCTAATTCTCTGAAAACTGCTCTTCAGATTCTGCTTGCAGATAGCACTCCTCCTTACCTCTTGTCTAATATAAACTGCTCGCAAATCAAAGACAATTTTCAATGAGTATAGAGGAGCCTGGCCTAGAAACACCTCGTACACTCCTGATCTTTAGCCATATTAAGTGTAACTATCATAGAATTTTTAAATAGGAATAAAAGTCATTGATGCCTGTTTTAATATTCCTTTGATCATTCAAATCAACCAATTTAAATTTTATAAGAAATTACCAACAGTTTCAATTTGACTGACAAAGCTTCAACAAATTTCTAGATTTTTTTTTTAACTATTTTAATCAAGTTTATCTATTTGTAAGTATTTCTTATCATATCTGCAAGCTTACATGGACGAACAATTAAATTTCCATAAATGCATAACTACGTTTTCATTTGATTAACTAGTATTTACAAAGCAAAAAGTTTCTCATTTAACATCTTAAACTTCTTAGGGGTCGTTCACTTATGACGACCGAATTTAACGGTCATTTTTCATAAAAGAACAATGGATTTCCAGGAATTTCTATTGTTCTTTTCTTGCTGACCCCCCTCCCCCCCCCCTCCCCCCCTCTGGACGTCATAAGTGAATGGCCCCTTAAAGCATCTTCAATAAAACATCGAACAAAAAAAAAATTCTAAAATTTAGTATTCATAAATGACTTCTAGATTTTTGAAGTTAATTTGTTTTGCTGGAACCTTCACAAAACTCTACCTTAAATGCTGGACATAAATGATGAACAAACTTCAAGTAGTTTTCATTAAAATTAATTAAATTATTATATAATAATAATTTTTGCATTTCCCAAGAAAACTTTTCATTCAGAAGATGTTTTATGAATAATTTATAGTGATAAAAGCCACATTAATTGCGATGCTTAAACACATGCACATGCTGCTTTTGGAATATTTTCATTAAATGACGAAAACTGAATGTGCATCTCTACAAAAATGTTTGTATGCACTGTCCGAAATCTAGTCAAATTGATAGTGTTGTGTTGAAACGGCTGAGCTGTAAAATTTTGGTGAGAATCGAACCTAAATCTTACTAATAGAAAGGATTACATACTGCTGGTTAGTTGCCTCTTTAATCAGCTACTCTCACATACTGGCAAATTTGCCTACATATGCATTTATGCAACTCTGGATTAACAGCAACCCATTTTTAAACAATAAACAAAGAAAGCTGTAAATCCTTATTTACTTTTATATCCTCTCTATTTTAAGATACCTCCTTATAACTCAAATGATGGATGGATGAATGAGTAAATGAATAAAAGAAATTTCGAAAGAAACAAAAGAAAAGATGAATGTCTGGCAGGCAACAGAATAAAATTTAAAAGCATGTAAATTCTTATAAAATTTGCATTTTCTTATCTATAATCATACAACGATGCAATAAACTTGCTTTATTCTTTAAATTCTTCAAGCAGTTTTTTTTAAACGTGTCCTTCTTTTTTTTCCACCAATAATCTTTTTTAGATAGATTTCTTATTTTATGGTGAACGAAAATTGTCGAAAGATCTGATTCCAACTTGTAGGGTTACCTTGAAACCCTTTCTTTAGAATAACTCAAAAATTAAAAATCTCTCCTCTATTCGAATAAGCATCTGCATGAAAATTATTTGCCAAAAGCAGTAACTTGTGCAAAATAACCCTATTGTTCAATAAGTTGTTATCCTAAAATTCTATCCGAGCTTGCAATAAAAGTCAAACATCAGCACATCGCACAAACAACCAAACACACCTAAAATCATGTTAGAATCCTATTTAGTCTATAAATCATGTCTAAAACTGCAGGAATTTTCATAAAAAATTATGCACTTCAGTGATGGAAAAATTCCCATTATTCTGCAAATATCATCAAGAACCCTCAACATGAGCAACTTTTTTCAAATTCCATTTCCATATATTATTAAACAATAGATCCACATTTCCCATAAATTTACCTAACCTAATTTTTTGATGCTAAAAATAAAGCACACAAAAAAAAAGAATTGTACTTACTTCACACATTCATAATGCATTTTATGTTATGAAAAGAGAGAGAATATGATGAATTCTCATCTGTATACTCACATTCATCCTGAATATTGTGGATATATTAAAATGAATGTGCGGGTAAAGTCATAAAAAAACGACGAGAAATGAAATGGCATGTTATGTTGTTAATTGTGAATGAAAAACTAAAATAAAAGAAAAATAACAAAGACGAGGTAGCTAGTGTGAATTCCACACAAAAAAAAAATTTTGTTCCTGTCAACGTTGCATACGAGATGTGATTTCAAACGCTTTCAAAGCTCATTTTTTATGCAATTTATTTTTATGTTTCAATTATTTTGAGTTGATTTTTTTTTTCACAGCTCCTCTTTTGTAGTTTTCATGCCAAAGCAGATTTAGCTTTATTATTGGGCAATCTACTCGTTATAGGATTGATGTCAATGACATTTTGTCTTTTTATAAGATTCAAAGTATGGGATGGAGTCAAGTACTAAGTATACCGTAATATATGCATTAGTATTACTTATAGAGTTCACATAAGGCTAAAACGTATTATGCAATAGGTCACACACCCTAAGCTTTCCCCTAAATTATGTCAAACTCCAATCAAATAAATTTTAAATTGAATGGTAATCATTAGACCTCAACTTAATTTCGTCATTATGAATAGTAAGTGCATCAATAAGAGAGGACGGTTGTAAATCCTTAATGGGTGTATCGGGTAGAAACCCAATGCGGATATATTCACACTGTAATATTGATGAGCTTCGCTCAGCATAAGTTTAAAGATGTAAAGCTAGCGTGTCAGTTGAGCTTCACTCAGCATAAGTTTAAAGGTATAAAGCTAGCGAGTCAGGTGAGCTTCGCTCAGCATATGCTTAACGAACATTATTTAAAAGTTTTTTAAAAAAATTTTCATCCAAATTTTAATTTTATAAAAATAACAATAAACTTTTGTTTTGAAAAATTCGTAAGAAAGAAAAGTTTTTTGCTTTTTCTGAAGCAACGGCTGTTCCTACCTTGCCCAAAAACAATACAGCTCTTCTATAGAGCAGCACGGATCAAATGTAAAAAACCAGAAGTCTCTACGTTGTCTCGTTATTGAGATTTCTTGCTGATTAAAATGCATGCTTGTTTGCTTACAGAAAGCGTATTTTGTGATTTTCTAAGCAATGCCTCAACCAATTTGAAATCTGTTTTTTGCAGAAGATGTAAAATTTCAGGCACAAACTTTTCTACTATGACCTTTTATAACCAATATTGTTTCGTTTTCTCACAAAATGCAAAAAACTGATTTTACAATCTGAATAAAATCAAAAGATTCACACCTGAAAACGGTGTGAACATAAAAAACATTGTTTCTCACAATCCAATACTTACTCGTAGTCATTTTGATTGAGTATTCTTAAGAAAATTTCACTGATGAGATTCTACAACTAGAATATTTATCAAAATAATTTAAATGATTCCTGAAATCTCAAAACTACAATCAAATTTCTATAACTTTCCTTAATCATTTTCACTTTTTCATCCACACAATTCCTTTAAAACAATTCTTTATCTCACTTTTAATTGCTACAGTGGAAATTTCATTTGAACGTTTTCCGTTCAAACTAGTTAAACTAAATTAAAGAGCTGGAAAAAAGTTTAACAAAATGCGATGTAATTATACTAATGAGCAACTTTGTGCAATTAGCTCTATCAATTAAAAAGCATAAAACTTTCATATATTAATTTTTAAAATATAAAATGAACGCTGTAATACATTTTTCATCCATTTGACATCATGCTGAACTTTATAAAGTTTCATTAAATAGCACTTTTGTGATCTATAAAAATTAAAATTCAAAATACGAAGAGAAAAAATTATACACGAGCTGACGCTCAAAGGCAAAGTTTCTTTTACTTTTATTTCCATTTCTCTTTAATAATTCTATGAGAGATTTTAAATTGTGAAAAGTCATAGATTAGTAGAGTGTACATTTGTTACTGTTTAACTTATTGCTATTGATTTTAATTTGGAGTTATTTTTGAATAACATGGTCTGATACTCTAGTTCATTCGAGTCATGATTTGAGTTGTCATTTTAACAAATTACATCAGATTTAAAAGTTGATGCTTTTAAACTTGATTAGACTCAATCAGACTAAGCTCAAATTAACTTAACTTGATTTGACTTTGCAAGAATTGTCTATACATGACTGAACCAGATTTGATTCGACTTAATTTTCCTTGAATTAATTCTACTTGAATGAGCTACTTGAATTGATCCTACTTGAGATGACTTTACTTGAGTTGGTCCTACTTGAATTGGTCCTACTGGAGTTGATCCTTACTTGAGTTGTTCCTACTTGAGTTGATACTACTTGAATGTTTCCTACTTGAGCTGATCCTACTTGAATTGATCCTGCTAAAGTTGATTCTAGTAAAGTTCTTCCTTGACTTGAATTGCATAGACTTGACTCAACTGTTTACTCCCTCACATTCTCCTCCTTTCGCAAAACTCTAACATCTATTTTATTAAAATATTGCAAGATTCAAAACCTTAAAGAAAATTCAATCGATTCTTCACCCATCATATTACCAGTCAATTTGCATCCATTAGGAAAATGTTTATCCCAAAAATAAATATTTGCACAGCAAAAAAACAAATGGGAATTGAATAAATTGTATAGATTTTCACATGAAAAACTAATTTTCATATCTTTTATCAGTTTTACTATAATACTCAACGTAGCAAAACATTCGTGCACTTTTGTCGTGAAGAAAGTTTTCTCCTCAAATCCTCAAAAGGGATTCAGAAGCACAAAACACAAAATGTTTAATTCAGTAATGTAAGAAGCTATAAAACTAAAAGGAGAAAAGATTCTTTAAGCACATTTGAGACTGTTTTGAGAAAATCTTTTTTATTTGTAAACTTTTTTCTTTAAAGTCAGTAACTTTCAATCTATTCATGCATACATTTGATCCTTAAATATTGTTTCTAAATTTGGTAAAAGGAAAGGATGAGAATTGAAAATCCATAAAAAAACTGCTTGAGGCGAATGCTGATGTTATGCTGAGTAAAATGGAAAGGTTCAATATTTTCACAAGTAACTGGCGTTATTTTAAAAAGCATTGAAAATCAATTGAATAAATTTTTTACAATTTCCTCTGAAGAACTGTTGAAAACCTCAGAGTAAAGCATGGAAATCTCATCTTAATTGCCTTTTAATTGGTTTTACATTGCACTGCGCAATTAATTCAATGAATTTTATTGTAAATTAAATTGTTACGCTTATAGCAATGGTCATTGGTTATCTTAATCGTCTCTTTTGATCTTCAACGTTAAAGATTACAGAGTGGCTTTTAGTAATTAATTAAAAATTTTAATTAATGAAAATCTGATAAAATTTCAATTTAATCTTTAAGTAAGCTTAATACTATTGATATAATAAGGTTTCGTTAATTTATTACGTCATTAATCATATAAATTCCTCTGTATATGATTCTCGTGGTTGACGATTACCATATTTAGTGACTGTATAAAGGCTGTGAACAACACAAAAGTAGTAAATTTGAAAACTTATTCCAAACAAGTCTTTGATAATTTCGCGAGTACTGTTGCCACTTTTAAAAAGTTCAAAAAACTCAAGAATAATTTCAATAAACGATACAATTAAGTACATATACATTTTTTTGTGATGACCCTGTGAACGAGAATCGTTACGAATTTAATTTGCTACAAAAATAGTAAAAATATTTACTTTGACTATTCCAATAATAAGCAAAACAGCAGAAGTTCCTTCAATCAAGAAAATTATAGCCAAAAAGAAGCCCATTACAATAACTAAAATAAAATAACATTTATTCATTATTATAATTGACACAATACAACAAAGATGATTTTGAAAACTTACATGCAGTTCTATCAACATATCTCAATCCATAAAAATCATTCATATCAACATATGTTAAATCAGAACTTTCAGATAATTTATATCCAAGAACTGAGATTGTAATTATCAAACCAAATAATCCAATTAACGAGTTAAGCCATCCAATTATCAATCCACCAGTTCTTAATGAAAAACAGCAGCAACCATTACAAATTGGTTCTTTCATTTTGTTGGGATGATAAAATATTGTAAAGAAATTTCAAATTCGTAGTTTTTACTTCGATTCCAAAATCCAGACTGTATAGAAAATTTTGTAAAAATAATAATTGAAAACGTGTTTTTAACAGTTTGTTTACTTTTAAATTCGGAGAAAAAAAAGAAATTTTTTCACGATTCATTTTCATTTGGTTTACAGAATCTATTAATAGTAACATGTAAAGGCTTTAATTTTTTTTTTCAAATGGAACTTGATGAAATTTCAATTTATTGGTATTTTATTTTAAATATAATATTCTATTAATTCATGTCAGCATTAGCACTCAGTACTGAGCATTAGCTTTAAATGCCGCAGATCATAAAATCCTCAATTCATCATTCTGTGTCATAGTGGCTGCTTCTATTCACACACCTAAGATTTTCATGCAGAACAGGACGAAACATAGTTTAAGGACCTTTGCATTAGCTTATTTTAATAAATTTTTTAGCGCATTTTTGAAGCTTGTTTCGAAAAGGTAGCCTAATAATTCACTTTGTTCGTTCGTTCGGGCGGAGAAAAACTTTTTAACTAGACATCGTAGAGAGTTCTAGTTTGTTTTATTGGCTCAAGTCCATTGTTTTATTTTCGGGAAACGCATTTAAAAGTCTTGAAACAGTGTTTTTGTACTATAATTAATGATTTTTATATTTCATATGAAAAAACACGTGGTGAGAGCGTTTAGAAAATCGAATTTTTTTCTACCGTTGAAAAATTTTAAATTTTAAATTATTTGCTTATTGCACTTAAATTAATGATCTTCTAATCTTCTAATGATCTGTAAATGAACGCAAAATAAATAGATAATCAAATACTGATCGCTAACATAAAAATGCGCTTAAGTCCCTCGATCAATAAAACGAGGACTTCTGTAATTTTTTGAAAGATCTTTCAATTTTATTTAATCACTCGAGAGCTCATTGATGCTGTAAATTATCACAACACATAAAATTTAATAGTCGTTTATCGATGAGCACAAGCAAAGCATGTCAAACATGATTCTCATGTCATTTATAATTTACCAACAATTTTCCCACCATACTGAAATTTATGCATTGCAACAAGCCAACTAGAATTGGATAAAATTATTTTACAAGTTTTGACAAGTCCGAAAGATTTATTACAACATAGTCAGAGCCATTGACATCCTGTAAAGTTAATCCATAAAATTTAATTCTTTCCATATCGAAGAACAAAACAATATTTACAGGACCAGTTTTTGCTACGAAGAACTTTATAGTAAATTGCGATAACAAGCTTATAGAGAATCCTTTACATCTATCGACACATGCACTACATTTGTAGGTCATTTGTCAAACGATTTGTCTCCACACTCCTTTCTTTTTTGACTATCAATCAATTGATAAGTTGGACATGACAATTTATATTCTGTTATCTTTTATTCTATTATATATTCATGCATTTGATTATGCTTGTAGCAATGAAATCGATTGATGTACTGCAGAAATTTTTTTAACATGAAGATAATAGGAATTGTCAATGTTCTGGGTAGTTTAATTGAAATTTAATTGGATATATCAATTCCTGTTGAGTTGACGTGAGTTTTTATGAAGCTTTTTTATTGAAAGGAAGTGGGAGTAGTTGTTAATTAATAAAATAATGTGTTTCTCATTCTTTAGATTTAAATCAATCATTAGTTGACAAATTGAGATTGTCTCTACACTTTCCAATTTTTTTTAAAAGGAATTAACTTTACACGCAATTTTATCACAAAACAACTCGAAATACAAAAATGTCCATCCACAAAAAATGAAAATATCCTTTTGAGACTGCAGGACCTCCCTTATCATCATAAAATCACAAAGGCATTTTATCCAGGAAACAAAATGCAAGCTGAATAAGAAAAGAAAAGATGCAACAAGCTTTTATTTATGAATACAAAAGGAAAGAAGGCGAGATGTGAGAATTCGTGTCACTTGGCACAGCAATTGCTTTAAAAAGTAAAGTCAATGGACTTTGTGGATGGCGAAAGCAGACAAAAGAAACCATTTTAATATGTTTACATGAATCATTTCAATGACGCCGGCTGGTTCATTAAGGCATGTGATTGTTTGTAAGTTTTCACTTTGTTTGTTTTTGTTTGGTAAGGATGCCTTTAAGGAATATTTTTGTTACCTTCATAATAACTTATGCTTGACTGGTTTATGTAAGCGATGCCAGCGATGCAGGCGAATTGATCAAAACACTCGTAGAATTAGACAGGACATGATTTCAAGGAACAAGCTTATGAGCAAAATACAACTCAATTTTAACGAAGATCAATATGAAGACTTTGATTTAAATATATATATATATATATATATATATATATATATATATGGGCAAGACCGCGAAAAAAGTGAACAAATATTGAAAGTTGATTCACTCAGAGTTTAGTTATTCAATCGTCACAATTCTTTCAGTGGCTTATAGCCAAATATAAAAACTGAATTTTTAACCCAATAATTTTAAAATGGCGACTTTATAAGTTAGTTTAATTTCTAAATCAAACATTCAAAGTGATTTTTATCCAAGAAGGAAGCTGTAAAAGGAGCTGATATGTTCATAAAAGTTGTTGAGAATCTTATTTTCTTTCATTTATCATACACACATTTTCAAATTAATACACAAAATTAGTTAAATTAACCAAAATTGATTTTACATATAAATTTAATGAAATTTTCATTATTGTCCCTCAAAAAGCATTAATTAATGATAAATTACAACTTTCCTGCAAGAATTTACTGCAATAAAGCCTTCTAATTTAGTTAATTTAACCAAAAGTTTATTTTACAACTCTTTAATCAAGTCAAAAATTTAAATTTTCAAAAACGGTTGAAAATTTTTGTTTAAAGTTTTTAAAGTTTTTGCTTTTTTCTTGTTCTATAACATTATATTGTGATATATTTTGCTAAAACTAAGCATATTTGATGTATAATTATCATTTTACATCATAAAATTAAAAGAATATCTATTCAATTGCCATTTAAAGGCAATTTTACAAAATGACCAAAAAAAGTTAATTATACTACTTTTTTCAAAAATTTTTGACTTCTATCATAAAGCCAAGGTCTAAAACTATATTTGTGTCAAGAAAAAAGTTAAGTAAGTTAAAAATTGATAGTAAAATATAGGAAAATAAGGTTAAAAACATTAATTAAATTAACTTATTAAGTCGCCATTTTATTTTTATTACTTTTTAATGATAACTGTAGTTTTAAACTAACTATTGCTGAAAAAACTATTGAAATCGGTGTAAAACTAAGCGAGATAGACTAGTTTTAGTAAAATTTCAAATACCCTTCCCAAAAATTCAGTGTCAGATTTTGCCTATTTTCAGGCTTCACAGCCTTAAGTATAGTACTTCCAATGAAAAGTTACATACCAAAAGATAGGCATCAAAAAGTTCTATAAAACAGTATGTTTAGTTTTACTGTAAGTATTTTCGTTACAGAGATATAAACGAAATAATAGCAAAATCTGACACTTAATCGAAAAACGGTCTTGCCCATATATATATATAGTCAATTTATACTCAACGTTAGCACAAATCTGGTACAAATCGCCCTCTCCTCCTCTAATATTACTCATAGCATTACTTCAAGTTAGACTTTTCAAAGCTATGAAACTTATCAATGTGTGCATCAAATTTCCATCAAATCAAGCACACAAAAACCTTAATAGAATTCACAAAGCTTACCATCAGGACACAAACACTTGAAAAGATTAAGATATGAGGTCATGCACTTTCAGTTGCACCTTCATTGCCAGAATTGTGCTCCTTAATAATTCTTTCATTACCACTGGTGTGACTGTGAAGATAAATAAAGTTACAAAAGTGGATTTTTTTGCATGAGAACTTTTAATAGCACACGTGGCATTGTTTGAAGCTTAAAATAAATGAATAGCTTCTCAGGAAATGCATCAACTTGAGAATTTAATTTTTTATATCATCAAAGCCACTTGTTCGGTCGTCTGGAACAAAATCCAGCACATTTTAAAGAGGCTATGAATGCAAAAATTTCCATTTATTATGGACAAGCTTATCGAAAATTTATTTGGGGACACGAGAAATTTTTTTTTGGTTGTAAACGATGAAAATTGTAGCAATAAATGTTGTAACATGTATGATACGAGAGATATAACATTATTATTAAAATTTTTCAAGCATAAAAGCCTTTCAGATAAAATTTGTCATCGCATTTATGCGACAGGGTTTCTTGGAAGGATAACTTATGTATTGTAGGCTGTTTTAATAGGAAATGGAATTTTTGTATGAAGTTCTGAAAAAGGAAAAAAATAATTGCTTTAGGGAGTGCGTGTGGGACAGTTTGATGACGAACTTTCCTCAATTTGGATACCTTCATAATTGCTAAACCTGTAATAATGTCATCCAAAAACTTTTGAGTGCTTACAGCGACCTCTAAAACATCCATTTTAAGAAGCAATGCAGGATAATCAACGTAATTTTCATTCCTGATCATTTAAAATCTTAAAAGGTTTCCCGACAGCTTTTCAACATTTCATCATGAAGTTTTTGCTGCTACATTTCCATTTATCCTGTTAGAAATATTTGCTATTCCAACTCGAAAATATTTCATTTAGCTATTGCATTATCATGCGGTAAATTTGCAGAAATGTTTTGGTTTTGCGCTCGAGTAATCATAAAATTGATGCAGAAATGCGGTATGCCAAGTATGAAAGCTAAATTTATAAACTTTTTTTGTTGTGATTTTCATGTTTTCATAGTTAAATTGTTCATAATTATGATTTTAGAAAGTTTTAAAAATTAGGGACTGATGTGTTATTTTTGAAATTAATGTTAACTTCGTAAAATTTGAGTTAAAGGTAGGGTGACCATCTAATTTTTATAAAAATACAGGACATTTGATAAATTTCCCAAAAAATACAGGACACAAAGGAAAATTTGAAAATTAACGGAAATTTTCGTGAAAAAAATACAGGACCTGGAACAAAATTTTCAAATTTATACAGGACAGGGTTTTGAAATACAGGACTGTCCGTTGTAAAACTAC